TTATCAGTTCGTCGGAATATTTTTTTTTTTTTTTTTTTTTTTTTTATGTATGTTACCGCATAACTTTGGACCGCGTCAACCGATTTCGATAATTCTGAAAAGGTGGTGTCTCAGAGGTGGTCCCATACTAATCTCGTTAAGATCCGATCAGCGGATCATGAGATATATATATATATATTTTTTTTTTATATGGGAGTTGAAGTCGGTTTCTTTTTGCTAAAAATTACTAGTATTATAAACCTTTTAGCCAATTTGTCTTTTTATGCTTGTCAAAGTATGCTTTTTGTATCATTGAGTAATTAGCCGAACTAGGAATACGAATTTATCATAAATAAATTAATAGTAATAATAATAATAGATTGGCGATTACACATATGTTAGCGTTTGGCCGAACTTCTCCTCCGATTTGTGGCGTGCGCCTTGATGTTGTCACACAAAGAGGAACCTACAATTTTACGCCCGACTCCGAACGGCGATTGTATTTTTATTAGAAGCTATTTTTCATGGCAGAAATACACTCGGAGGTTTGTCATTGCCTGCCGAAAAGCGATCGCTTTTAAGAAAAAAAACCTTTTTTCGAAATTGTGTGCGATGTTGCTTTGACGAGGGCTTGAACCCAGGCGCTGCGCAGTGGAAGCGCGCACTGCTTACCACTACACCACAGCGGTCCATAAATCAATTATTCGGGAAAATTTTATGACTTGCAAATGCGCTGGAATTATTATCATCATTATACATCACTTTGTGCAGTATCGATATACATACATAGGTACATATCGCTAGTATAGTATGGAAAGGGAGTATCTCACATCGTGGCTGAAAACTAACTGAAACTAACTAAAAGTTTTTATTGCATAAAACGATGTGGGGACTCATAATTCGATGATTTGCATCATAATCAATGCGAAAGTGAATTTTGGATGTTTAGTTTACAAATGAATTTCATTAAATATTTCAAGCTGCAATAACACATATTTGATATAAACCTTAAGCAAATACTTCAAAGATGTATGAATTGTTCACGCGACAGTCGGGTCTACGTAACCGGAACGACTCAGATTTATATCTGGCCAAGGACTGTCTGATTTTTATAAATTAAAGAAGCAACTTTAAAATAACTCCTCCAAAAGACCCCCTGAAGTACGCCCTATAAATCAATTTGTGCCACTCCATTCAAAACAGAAAGGAAGAAGGACTATAGACTGGAAGGCCTCTTGACTGTCAGGAAGGCCTTTCGGAAGGGCTTTTAATTCCTGAAATTATCTACGGGGATACTATAATAACAATATGTACTATATAAATTTGTAATATGTACGTACATATATGTAAATACATACTTATGTTGATGCTGTTAAGAATACAAACAAATGCATAAAGGGCAAGACAAAGTGAATTAACTCATTATTTTTTCGTATCTATTGCAGAAAGTGGACGACTATTTGTTTGGGGAGAGAATTACTATGGCCAGCTGGGTATTGGTAGCCAATCGAATAACAACAACAACAATAATAGCAAAAGCAACAGTAACACAAGAAGTAATGGCGATATAATTACTAAACCAACTTGTGTAAAGTCACTGAAAACATTGGGTTTGAAAATAGCCGACATCGCTTTTGGCAACGATTGGTCCATAATACTCACTCGTTCGTATTATTACACAATTTCGACAATCTATGAACCGCGTAGTTATTTTTACCGTTTCGTTATTGCAGATTCAAACGAGTTATTCTTCAGTGGGCGCAGCGTATTTCCAGCTGAATCGAATGTAGCGCGTAATTTTACCACGGCCACAGTGGCGAATGAGCAATGTGAAATTATTCGCAAACCATTTCGAATCGATGAGTTGGACGATTATCTGGCAAAGAATGAGGACGCGGAGTGTTATACGAACGTATTGGCCGGCAATGAGCATTTCGTGCTAATGACTAGTAAGCCATTTGACATACTACGTACATATGTATCTATTTAGACGAGATTTTTTATGTAAACTATGGGTACTAGAGTGAGTATGTACATATGTATAGATGTATATTTGTGGGCGCACATTTAAATGATTTTATGAAATTTACATGAACTCTGTATATTTCAGGCTTTGGGCGCCTCATTGCATGGGGATCTAATCAAAACTACCAGCTAGGCTTAACCAAACATGATTCCGTTCAAATGCCCCATGAAATAAACCTGGGTGCGCCAGTGCAACAATTCGTGTGTGGTCCGGAATCAACGCTGGTGCTCACGACGACCGGAAAGCTCTTTTTCACCGGCCACCTTAACGAGTTTGTTTTTTCACAGTTTACTGAACTTCAGCAAAATCTCGCACCTACGGAACAAATCATTTTTATGCACATATCGAAAACGAATGAGATTTACATCGTGACCAATGCTGGTAGCATCTATCGCAGTACAGAGTCGTTGCGTACAAAGAGCTTAATATTTCAGCGGTTCTACGATTATGACAGCGAAGAAAATGGGCCGATATGGAAATTGTTGAAAGGATTCTCTTTCTATGCGGTTCTAACAAAAGCCAACAAATTTTACACTACATTCTCAGAGAGCGGTCATCACCTCAAAACGTTTCGTGAGATATCTAAATTCAAAAATTTACGACTTCTCGATGTGGCGGTGGGCAATCAGCACATATTAGTGCATGGTTTACCACGAAATTCTACAATCTCGGCAGCTGTGGGGCCTGGCTATGAACCGCATCGTTTCTCCAGCCGCACTTTCGTTATGTCTGCGACGCTATTGGATGGGCCTGCAGAAAGAAACCAAAACAGGGAAAGCAAAGCAGTAGCAGTTGAAAATAAATATAACGAAACGATTGAGAAGGATGCCGCGATGATAGCCGATGTTAATAGTAACACGATAAACATCGAAGGTGACGGCAAACTTGGACTAGCAGAAAAAAACAGAGAAACAGATACGACAACCAAAAACGATGTTGCCGAAGTGAAGGCGGAAGAATTTGTTTCTGATGAACTCGGAGTCGAAGAACTAACTAGGGAACATCTTAATGGCGAAATTTCTGCAAATAAAGGCAACACCATGGGGGGACTAAATGAAAATAAGAACCACAGCGGGGATATAGAAGATACACATTTAATCACCTCCGCAGCTGTTATAGAGCATAATGAAGCAAGCTCACCATCTGGATCGGAGAATTCGAAAAAATCCAGACACTCAGTAAAATTCTCACCTACATCTGCAAGCAAAGCATCACCTATAAGTGACAAATTGTTGAGACCACACACTCCCTACCCGGAGAGCTGCACAACGGCGAGTACACCGACGACTATCAAGAAAACACCATTACGTAACTATTCTTATGAAGCTGCCATGGAGCACGACCATATTGACAGCACGTCACCAGCTCTGATGGATAGCTTGGACAATATACCTGAAAGTACAGAGGCCGAAAGTGAGATTAGGGGTGTTAGTGTTAAAAATGGTAAGTTAATAACTCATAACACAATTTACTATAAATAATTGTTTTTTGTATTTCTTTGGTCGTGAAAGCACTCGCTTCGTCCCCTACACTCCCGTTTGAGGAAGACGAACAATTAACTGTAGAAATCAACACTACAACAGATCCACTAAACAGTACCATTGTCGTTAATGAAATTCGCTTCATAAACAATGGGGTCGACGTAACAGATAATGTTAAGGCGCAATCGTTTGAAAGAGATGACACTGAAAGCACTTTAGATTCTTTAGAAGAGCAAGCGGAAGACATCGATAGAAAGTCAAATGGAACACCGAATGAGATAGATAATAGTGCAAATACAAATGCGACGGAACCACATAAGACTCAAGTTGATGTCACGGGGATGAGTAATAAATTTAAAAACGCAGTAGATGAAATTGAGTCAGGTGTAGAAAACACAGTTCAGTCGAAAATAACCGAAATCAATGAAAATGTCACGATGTGTAAGGATATTTTATCTAAGCAGGCGGAGCATATTGAGGAAGACATAACATCGGCACCAACTGAGCTAATGTCACACACTGAGAAAGTAAGCAAGACTTTTACTGACAAAATTGGAAACGCAGCCAAGAAAGCAGCTGCCACTGCTTCCGATGTGCGCCACTCTCTGGAAAGTGCAGCAAAAGGTGCTACATCAGGTGCGCTAGATGCTGTTGAATCAGTAGGAGAAAATGCTAAACATGTTGCCAATGATGCTATGAACACAGTGGAAGGTATAGGAAATAGCGCAAAAAAGGCGGCAACTGGAGCAAAAAATGCCGTTGGGAATGTATTTATCAAGATGTCTGATGGAACCAAAGATGCTGTAGACTCTGTAGCAACCAAAATTGCTAATGAAGTTCAAAGCGCCAAAGAAAATATCAACACCATGTTGCAAGGTAAAGTCCTTAAGCCACCTCCCACTGAAGAAGATGCGGTGTCATCAGCATCGGACGTTGCATCTAAGGAAGGTGCTAAAACCAATACTACCACAGGAGAAGATGATGAACGCACAACAGCATCCGTAAATTCAACACAAAACTCGACTGGTAACCCTTTTGAAAATAGCAATCCCTTTGAATCTACGAATCCTTTTGACGATGTTATCGAACGCAGTAAAAAAGCACTACAAGACGAAGCTAATACTTTCCAACAAGAAGTAGTTCAAGATACAGAGAAGGAGAAGGGAAAAGTACGACAGTTCTTTAGCGATTTTCGTGGAATATCCTGTCGAAATGAAAAATCGGTGGAAGTCGATGGTCAGTTGTTTAAAAGGCTAATATTGTTTACATATCTAAAAGACGACTTTATTATGTGATTTTCTATTTTATAGATGATCCTCCTAGGTATTCAGTCGAAGACAAGTACCCCACAACACGTCGCGACAACTCAAACCAAGAAAACACGTCAAAAGTTTGCTCAATTTTGTAAATTCTCCTTAATATATCTTCAGTCTAATGTATGCATTTCTCTATTAGTTACCGTATAATATAATGACACAATTTATTATACAAATATCACGTATAAAAAGGCTTACCTTAAAAATTATACACGGTGAAATTGTAAATCAGATTTTGCACAAAATTCGTTCAAATCAGCTGTTAAATAAACATAGCGAACTTAGCTGTGGTTTAAGGATACAACATAGAGATGGCATGCTAAACAGTTTACCCATGTATCGATCAAGGCGTATTCATATAAGGTGGTATCGATTCAACGAAGACAATTAAATGCGAAGGTACACAATTGGGGTGTTCACAGTTCGTTCCAAATAGTGTCTCAAAATATGCGCGTTCCTTATCTCCCAGAAATAGTCAGAAAAAGTCCGAAGTAGTCAGATTTAGTCCAAAAAGCGTTCCTTAACTCGGAAATGACAGCAAAAATGAGAGAGCAACAGTCAGTGAGAGCGACTCTCATCAGTCCGAAGTAGTCAGATTTAGTCAGAAGAATTTTTTCTGGCAAAATCCTGAAAAGTGTCAAACTCAACTGAATTTAAATTAACGGAAATTAAAGAATACGCAAAAAGTGAGAATAATCTAAAAAGTAAAAGAAATGAATTGAAATTGGAAGGAGGCAAAAAATAGTTGATATAGCAAGAGTTTATTGTGCTTGTGCTTGTGTGAATGTGTTTTGTACATACATTTCTGTTCTTATTTGACGTTAGTTTTGTTGTTGCCATTCATTGGACTAAAAATTTGGTTTTTTGCGTTCCTTTACTTTTCCTGTTACTCTCTTTTAGTGAGCGCATTTTGCTTACGCTCTGGCATTTTGACACTTTTCAGATTTTAGTCCAAAAAGATAAGGAATGAACCTAATGTAGACGTCTACATTTTAAGACGTTTTCTAACCGTAAAATCTGTGGTGTTGTTGTTTCCCATACAAAATTGGAAAACGACGCCGTCTACATTTTGTCACACTCAAAGGTATGTTTTTTACGCGTCTACATTTTGCAACCTCGCAGCAGAGTTGCATTATGGCAATACTAATCACATTTTTTTTTATATATTGGGCACGTTTTCTGTATTTGCATTTAATTTGAGCGCAATTTCTGATGAAAAGAAACAAATCAAGGAAAAGAAATAACAAATATTACAAATTGGTAATTAAGTTAAATAATTACAATTTTTCAGAAACATAATCGAAAGGCGACATATAAAAAATGCACGCAAGGAAGAAATGTCTGGCAACACCAGCAAAGTTTTGAGACGATTTTGCGACGACTGCTAGAAAGGGGTGCTCACAGTTTGATGCTAAAAATGTCTCAAAATGTAGACGTCTACATTTTCAGACACAATTTGGAACGAACTGTGAACACCCCAAATATGCGTTGGCCGGCAAATGAGTCACGCCGACAATAGGCATGTTTTATTCAACCATCCCAAGCAAGTAGCTAAATCTTGGTCAAATAAAACGAAATTAGCTTTTCTCCTTTTTAAGCCTATTTTTGACAGTTGTTTGACTGCAAATAGTGTCAAAGTAAGTTTTTGCCTTTTTCTGATTGGCTTAGGGAGAAAATTTCTGATGCTGAATGTCAATGCCTCTTGTTTAACATACAAGCCAAGATAGCTTTTCATAAGCCAAAATAATTATGTTGGGTAAGTCCTCTATACAAAATAAGCTAATAGCTTAAATTTCTGGACAAATAAAATACGGCTAATGTCAAATAAAATTGAACACGTGCGTTTGTACGACAGCTGTTAAGGCCGGTCCACATAGAATTTTCGCGTTGCCTTTAGCGTTGGCGTTGGTTTGACAGAACGCACGTTTAAAGTATGTTTGCTACAATGAACGCCTGGCAGCGAATGCTTGGGCCCCTTAATTAACACACTAACATAGGCCCGTTTACATACAACTTTGGCGTTGCGTTGGCGTTGGCGTTGGTTTGACAGAACGCACGTTAAAAGTATGCTTGCTACAATGAACGCTTGGCGGCGAATCCTTGGGCCACTAAATTAACATATTAACGACAGATAAATTAATATTTCATATCAATAATTGCATTAAAAACGATATTTCTTGCCCGCACTTGATTAAAAAGGAAAAATATTTCACATAATTTTATTTATTCGCAACAGCTGACGAGCGACGCACGCGAAAAGTTGAGAGTTGGCCATCTTTTTGCTTTGTGTTGGCGTGAGCGTTGTCGAATTTTGGCTATGTGGACGGCTGCATTTGAATTCATGTATTCATAGTCAGCTGTTGAAGCGACGCCAACGCCAACGCAACGCCAAAGTTCTATGTAAACGGGCCTATAGAATTTTCGCGTTGGCTTTAGCGTTGGCGTTGGTTTGACAGAACGCACGTTTAAAGTATGTTTGCTACAATGAACGCCTGGCAGCGAATGCTTGGGCCCCTTAATTAACACACTAACGACAGATAAAATAATATTTCATTTCAATAATTGCATTAAAAACGATATTTCTTGCCCGCACTTGATTATATTTCACATAATTTTATTTATTTGCAACCGTTGACGAGCAACGCACGCGAAAAGAGAGTTGACCATCATTTTGCTTTGTGTTGGCGTGAGCGTTGTCGGATTTCGGCTGCATTTGAATTCATGTATTCATAGTCAGCTGTTGAAGCGACGCCAGCGCCAACGCAACGCCAAAGTTCTATGTGGACGGGCCTTTACAGACGACGCCGTTACATGAACCAATTAGAACAGATCTGACCGGTTGAGAAGCAGCCATTTGAAATAGCGATTGAGAAAAAAGTTTGTGACGTTCGTAATATTGAAGTTGCTATTTCTGTTTTGCTCCTTTCTTTATGTGTATTTTGTCGGTGGTTTACTTCAATGATAATTTTTTTGTGCAAATTTAATTAAAATGAAGTGCGTGGTCATTGGAACACTACAAAAATAATAAATTGGTTAGCACAAACATGTGCTACAACATTGCTTGCATTTTTTTTTCTTTATGTTTGGTCTTCATATTCCTTGTTTACTTTTCACAGAAAATAACATGGCGCCGAAATTCAAATGTCAGCCAGAAAATTACTTTTTTCTTTTGCTTCATCTTGTCAGATCTTGTGTAGTTGGATCATGACGCCGTTACGAATGCGTTAAAGGCCCGTCCACATACAACTTTGGCGTTGCGTTGGCGCTGGCGTCGCTTTGACAGCAGCGCGAGTAACGCCCGTGCTTGCTACAATGAACGCGTAGCAGAGAATACTTTGGTCACTAAATTAACATACTAGCGGCAGATAAATGAAAAAATTACATCAATAATTGCATTAAAAACTATATTTCTTGCCCGGATTTGATTAAAAATGAAAATAAAATCACATAATTTTGATTATTTAGAACAGCTGACGAACGACGCACGCGAAAAGTTGAGAGTTGGCCATCTTTCTGCGTTGTGTTGGCGTTGGCGTTGCCCAACTTTGGTTATATGGAGACTTTCATATAAATGCATGTATTCATAGTCAGCTGTCGAAGCGACGCCAACGCCAACGCAACGCCAAAGTTGTATGTAAACGGGCCTTAACGCAGTTGCAGTCGAAAGTAACCAACTCGCTACTTTTCTGTTACGTTCATGCGTTCACATTTGAAATTACTTTTGTTGATATGCGTATCAGCAGTTTTTTGTTTACAAAACAGTGAGCGGCACAACGCAAGGTGTGTAACATCATATTTTTCAACGTCGTCAACACACTAACGGATCAACGCAACGACGCAGCAAATAAAATTATGTACCTTCAACTTAAGGCCGGTCCACATAGAACTTTCGCGTTGGCTTTGGCGTAGGCGTTAGTTTGACAGAACGCACGTTTTAAGTACGTTTGCTACAATGAACGCCTGGCAGCGAATTCTTGGGCCACTGAATTAACGCACTAACGACAGATAAATGAATATTTCATATCAATAATTGCATTAAAAACGATATTTCTTGCCCGCACTTGATTGAAAAAGAAAAATATTGCTCATAATTTTATTTTTTTGCAACAGCTGACGAGCGACGCCCGCGAAAACTTTAGAGTTGGCCATCTTTTTGCTTTGTGTTGTCGCGAGCGTTGTCGAATTTTGGCTATGTGGTCGGCGGCATTTGAATTCATGCATTCATAGTCAGCTGTTGAAGCGACACCAACGCCAACGCACCAATGTTCTTGTGGACGGGCCTTTACTAGTATTTTTTGTTTGCTTTTAGCGGACCATTGTCAAATTTCAGCTTATAGCTTAGTATCCAGCTCTTAAGAAAACGGTCAAGAAAAAATTGCCATTATTTCGCGTGTGTGTCCAAGGAATTTTGACATTTTTTATACCTCACAGCCTGTTGCCTCACTCTTTCCTCAAGAAATAATGGAGCGGGCATATATTTCTGTTGCAAACCTGGGTTGCCTTGTGCTCTTTTTTCACAAAAAACTTTAGAAAACCGTAGTAGAAAGCGTACTAAATTTCTGAAGAACTGCGTACTGCCTTAAGGAAATTTGACTCAAGAAAATTTCTTAGCCATTTCTTGTACGTCATTTTATATGGAGTTTTTGCTTTTCTTAAGAGCTGGATACTAAGCTTATCTATCTAGTGGCCATTGAGATAAAACAAAAATTTAAATTGGGTGGCGTCCGCTCCCTTCTACTGATTTGAAAGGAGACAACTTTTTTTGGCGGCAATTAAGGTAAAAGTGCATTTCAGCGGAACCATGCCAAAATTGACCAAAAAATCAAGAGGGGTATTAATCGACGCGTTTTAACGCGAATAATAATAATCCGAGACCGGAAATTAATATTTTTAATTTATTAGAGATTTATTTGCCAAAAACACTTGCAATTTTCGCGCTATGTTTTGATGAACTTGACGCAAATGAATGGAGTAAATGAACTCAACTTAACACGTAATTGATAGTTTTTATACATTTGTGATATTTTAACGGTAAATTTTTACCAAATTCTGTATTTTTTTTTAGTTATTTAAAGTTACTTCCTAATTCTTTATAAGAAGAATTAATTGGCCAGCAAAAAAGCTTAAAACGCTCCAATCTTGGATTAATTTATAAAATTAAAAATCAATTTCAATGTTCTTTAAAAAATTAGTGATAGATTTATATGTTATGCCATTAGTATTTTGATGAAATTCAATTAATGATGAAGTATTTTTGAGTATCGGGTATTTATCTCGTGAATTGTT